GGAGCGCCGCCGCGCTTCCCAAGCGGCGCACTATCCAGTGCGCCACTGGGCCGGCCCAGCAGCATATGCATTTTTATTTATTTGTTTGCCTCACGGAATACATAAATACAATGTGTATGTGTATGTTGAATTTTTCTTAAGCTTAAAATGTGCATTAGGGTCTATTAGAACTTCCCATTTTCAGACAAATAATAACATTTCATTTTTAAATGTTTCAAAATAACAGAAAGAAGACAAAATATTGTAGTTTTATATTACAGAAGTATGGTACAATTAACTTCCCCCAGCATTATTAACATGCTGAAAATGGCATTCTTATAAGTTACTCTACACATGCACATCAACTTTGTTTAAAAGAAAAGACTTTGAGTGATGGGCTTAGAGTATTTTCATTTGGATAATAAAAGGTAATTGGAAAACCACTATTAATTTACCTTACAAAATGATAATATACAACTTTTAAGCAAATCTACTTCAGTGATATCTCTCTGATCTAAGTACCAGACAACTGTGCTTGTTTCCCATTGTTTTCATGTATAATTGGGTTTGGAAATCCTCTCTTCTGAATCTTCTAAGAAAGCACTGCATACTGTGTACGGCCATGGAGTGATCATGTAAAGAGGAAGCAGAGGATCGTAACTTAAACAGCTTTAGTGTCTTAAGTTGAGCATCTTTATTCAAGACACTTCGCTTGTGAGAATTCTTTCCTTGACTCCTCCATGGTCTCCTTATCCAGTCCCTTCCCACTCTAATCTATTTTCCATATAATCTACTTAAATCCGACTTCCCTACTTACAATCTTTCAGTGACTCCCATTACTTACAAAGAAAAAGTTCAACCTTCTGTACATAACAAGAATACTTCCAAGATACCTTGTCATTATCTACCCCTCTGGTCTCAGCTTTCTTCACTTTCTGGTTAGAACTTAAGGCTGGAGAACAGCCTTCTCCAACTTTAGGGCATCAAAATCACCTTGTTAAAACTCAGATTGCTGGGCCTCACCCCTAGAATTTCTCATTTTGTAGGTCTAGAGTGAAGCCTCAGAATTTGCATTTCTAGTTCCCAGGTGATGCTGATGTTCCTGGTCCAGGTAACATTTTGTAACCACTGTTCAAGAAACACCCAACTGTTTGTAATACCCTCTCTCTTCCTATTTATACCATTACTTCTCCTTATGTTATATAGAACAACTTATCTACACTGTATAAAGGGTCTTCAGAAAGTTCATGGAAAATGGGTATTATAATTTTTTTTTTTTTTGGCACCAAAACAAACTCATATTAAAATGTTCACACAGGATCTAGTTTGAGGTACCAAAAAGGATAAGACATCAGTTTGAAAAGAGTCCCTACCAGAACAACATGAATTCTGTTAAAATTGAAGCAAAAACAGACATCAAATTTATGGTGACTCTTGGGTAAAAGAATGGTGAAATCATTGACACTGTATGAAAAATTTATGGGGACAATACTCCAAAGAAAT